CCTTTGACAATTTTCACAAAATTCTTAACTTCGATTCCTTCCCGGGTTGTAAGCCACCTGCAATCAACCACCAACCAGAAAACAAGCCCCTGCTTTTCTGTCTTCCAAGCCACTAAACGAAAGCAACCCCGCTGATTCGTTTTTCCCGCAGTGTTTGGTTGGAATGCTTCTGCCAAAGGAAAAACTAGCCACTTGCTATTCTTGTCCTAGGCGAGGAAGAGAATCTTGTCGAAGATTTTTGATCTGTTGTCAAGGCAGATCTCCCTTTTCTTGCCGCTGATCGCACACGCTCTGATACCAATTGTAGGAAAATAATTGGAAGAACAAAACAAATGCAGATCTGTTTATAAAATACTCTGTTTATATACTCCAGATCTGATTTTTTTATTGTGAACTACATTCAGGAATTCTATGTTCCTGGATTATTTATAGACATCAACCAACACAACTTTTGGTACTAATCAACACATCTATTACTAACTAATAACACTTCTAGAAATAACTACCTTTAACCTCCAGAAATAACTACCCCTGTCCCTTTTAAAATTTAAATCTAAACTAATAACTTATGACCAGGAATTAAACAATACGATTAAATCTAACATGGGTTGCTCTGTTGGGTTAAGTTGGCTCTTAGTAGCCTTATTCATGAGATTTTCTGTTACAGTTTGCTATTACTAGCTTTGTTCTAGAGTTTTACTGCTTCTGTTTGGCTTGTATTTAATTTTTTTCAATAAGAATTTCCTTTTCTGCAAAAAAAACTCATGCATCCTCTACTCTCAATCATCATCTTCTTTTTAACTATAGAAGTTCCTTAGCTTCTTGAATAATTGCATTACACCATATTATACATTATTTGTTACATAATTATTGGAGCTAGCTAGCTTCTTACATCATGGGTAATCTAAATATGAAAAATATCTTCATTGAACATTCTTACCTTTGAGGTTTATTTTAATACTTGTTTATTAGTTTTGTTTGTGTATATATAGAAGTTCAGTATTGTTGCAGTGGAACTAGCGGATAAAGTTAAACTAAAACTTGAAGCTCCCGGAGTTGTCACCTGAAGCCTCTAGAGGGATTGGAAGAGCCATTTCAAGGAATTGAAGTTACTTCTACAGCTTTGAAGTGTTTTGCAAGTTTAAAGAGAAGTTTTGATTTTGTACATTGTACGTTCCAAATGCTAGATGTTAGTCTATGTTTTAGAGTTGTAATACTTATGCATGTTTTTCATGGAATAACATTTATTGTTTTGTTACGGAGTAAAACATACTCTGTATGTCTACTCTTAAAAAGTGAAATAATTTTAAAAAATGTATGTGTGAGTACGATTGTAGTAGCTAGTCTATAATAGTATTTTTTAAAAAATATAAAGTGAATTTAGACCTCAATGTATCCCAAGTTTTGTTGGAAATAAATGGTTGATTTACCTCATCAGAGATAGATCAATATCCTAAGCATTCCATCCCCTCCCCTTCCCATTCAACTTTCACTTTTGAGTAGTGCCAAACAAATGCTTGAACCCCTTGTCTTGAAAGCCTCCAATAGCACTAAAACAATTAGAAACACAGAATGTATAACATAATATAGTGAGAATGCTCCAATATATAAAACCAGGAATGACCAAAGTACTCTGTAAAATATTGAATGCCAGAACGCATGGGCACTCACTGTGAAAAAGTAAGATCTTGAAAAAGTAATGGAGGAATCTATACCCGAGATTACATCAAGCATATAGTAAATCAGGCATCAACGGATTCGGTTAACATGAGCGAACGGCTCCGGGTTAGACTTGAGAACCTGTTTTTTGACTTCAGGAGTTCCAAAAACATTCCAGAATCTTAGTGTTTCATCACCTGCAGCAGATGCAACAGTGCAACCATCTGGGCTCTGCACAACAAATATGCTTGTGAGTATACTAATCATTTACCACGCACAGCCACAGAAATCTTTTTATATTAATTTTTTGAGAAAAAGAAGAAAGATAGTTAAACCTGAGCCATAAAAAGAACTCGAGAGGTATATCCCGCAAGCTCTGCCATTTTAACCATTGATGGGTATTTCCAGAGCGTGAGCTGATTCTTAGTAAACCCATTAGAGCTAAGCAACTCGCGCTCACTCTTGTTCCACAGCAATGCGCACACCTGAGACCCTGTATCAACTGAGTTCACACATGAACCGGTATGAGTATTCCAGAACTTAATGCACCGGTCTCCTCCACCTCCGCCTGAGGCCAAAAGGTTCCCCTGAAATGGACACCAGGCAAGGGCCTTAACTGCAGCTGTGTGTTCCTCGAACCTGTGAAGCCATTGTGTGGTTGAGGAGGTGGAGTTGGAAGAAGAAACAGCAGTCGATGATCTGTCCCATATATAGAGAAGGTTATTGTTTCCTCCGCTTGCCAACTGCTGGCCCGAAGCAGACCATTTTAGGCCGCACACTTCTTGACTATGTCCTTTGTAGGTTTCCGCAATACGTGATCTCACCCGGACGTCATTGTTGAAAATCATGCCATCCATCCCACCTGTTGTCAGTATATGATTGTTCCAATCGAGGGCTCCTACTCGTGATTGGTGGCCACCTCTCAAAGTTCGTAACTGCCCAGCAAACAAAAACTCAGTATTCATTCAATCATCGAAAGAAAAGAAACCAAG